TGCTTGAGCAGCACCGGGCGGCCCCGGCTGCGGGGCCGGCGCGGGGAGCACATGAAGACGTCGGCGGCCATGGGGGAGCCCGGCCGGGGGCATCCCCCGGGGCACTGGGCGACGCGGAAAGCGAGGCTGAGGGGCGCCGGCCCGGCCCGCGCGCCGACTGTCCGCGAGCGGGCGGCGGGGCGGGAGGGGGAGGGCGCGGGCCGACGGGCCGCCTCGGCGCCGGCCCCGGCGTGACGTCACAGGCGCGTCTCGGCCAATCGGCTGCCCGCGTCGGCCCCTTAAAGGCGCAGGGAAGCCTTTCCGTAACTAGGCGGACAAAAAAAAGAGACGGGGACAGCCAGAGGCCACGCCTCCCGGACCCGCCCCTCGCCACCCCTCCCTCCGGGCTGCCCCCGGGTGCTGCGGGACGTGGTGGCCGGGTGGTGTCACTCGCCGGGGCCGTGGCCTAGGAAAGGCGTCGGCCGAGCAGGCCGCGCCGACCCCGCCCCGCGTTCCGGGGAATCGCCCTGCGGCCTCGCTGAGGTCGGGGCGGGCGCTCCACGTGGTGGGTGGGGGTGGGGCTCTTTCCCCCTCCCCGGCCTCGCTTTCTCCTGCAGGGCGGAAACTGTGTCCTAGCAGCTCATCTCTGATGTTGCTGGGGTCTGTGGTTGTTGTCCCCATTTTATTGGTGAGAAGACTGAGTCGCTGAATACCAAAAGGATTTTTCTAACGCGAAAACAAGAGCAAGAACCCTTCTCACTGTGACCTCACATCCACAGAGGTGGAAACTGGCTCTGCCAAGATAATTCCGTTAACTAGGGCATCACAGCTAGTAAGTGGCAGAGCCACCAGCTCCTTTAACTACAACTCAAAAGACTGTCGATATTGTTAAGATTTTAAGTTTGGAAAGAGAACCAGCCCCCAAACAATTCTAAATTCTGAGCCATAGTTTTCTCCTCTTTCTAATACCGAACAATTCCTATGCCTCAGAAAGTTGTGACGATTCAAGAAATGACTATAAATTGCTTAGTACGGTGTCTGGCACAGAATGAGTGTTAAATAAATGTAGGACCTACAGACAGAAGGAATTGAACCAACCAAACCATAGGTACCTAGAAATTGCCAATACTCAACCACTTTTTGTCCTAGAGAAACAGCAATTTCATATGGTTCAACCTAATAGTTGACACTTCTAGAAAAGCTGACAAGGTTTCAGGGGCTCAAAGCCAGTCAGGGGTGAGGGCCATGTGGGGAGGGTGGAGAATGGCAAGGCTTCAGGAGGGCAGTGAGGCCCCAGGGCAAGGAGCACCCACCCTAGTCCCAGCAGGGCCTCATGAGTCCTCCATGCAGCGCCTGTGCTCTGTTTGGAAGCCATCTTCACTTCCAGATTTGGATAGAGGTTGAGCCCCCTGCTCCATCCTCCTTCTGAAAGGGAAGGTGTTGGGAGTGAAAGAAACAAAGGGCTCTTACCAAAGTGGCTGCACTAACTTTTTCCCTAGATGTCTCCATGAGGGATAGGCCATACCGACTGGCAGCCTCCATGTGAGTTGGAGATCTCCCCTTTGCCCAAACCACTGCTCTCAACTCTGGTTGCAAATGTCTGGAAGTCCACACTTCGAGGTGGTTTCCTTTATCTGAAGACTTTTCTCCTTGGTAAACTCTTAAATACCCAGCCACATTTGACACAGCAATTCCACTTCTGCAATTGTATCTTAAAGATATGTGTACAAGGATGATGACTGTAGCATCATTTATAAAGAGCGAACATTAGAAACAACATCATGCCTAACCAAAGGGAATTCATTGACAATATTATAGCCCCCAATATAATGGAACACTACATATTAAATGATGTAAATATATATTTATTGACATGGAAAGATGTCCATGATATGTGGTTGGGTGAAAAAACAACTTTTAAACAATTATCAGTGGTTTGATATCAATTTCAAAAAAAATGCATATATTTATAAGTATTTGTCAGAAAGTACCATCACTATAATGTTAACCCCAGTTATCTCTGGACAGAGTTTTTTTTTCAGAGTTTTCATTTTTATTTTCTTTTTTATGCTTATTTATATTTTCTAATTTTCCACAGGAAACAATTATTACTTGTATCTTTTTTTTTTTTAGGAGTATACTTTTTATTTCTCTTTGGTTTCTTAAAACAAAAGACATCCATGTGGGAGGATGTATACTTTTTTTTTAATTAAAAAAAATTAACGTTGGGGTTGGCCCCATGGTGTAGTGGTTGGGTTCGCACACTCCGCTTCGGTGGCCCGGGTTCACGGGTTCAGATGCCAGGTGCAGACCTACACCACTCATCAGCCATGCTTGTAGCGGCAACCCACATACAAAATAGAGGAGGATTGGCACATATGTTAGCTCAGGGTGAGTCTTCCTCAGCAAAATAAATAAATAAACAAACATCAATTCCCTGGGAGGAGATAACCTCTTAAAGCTGATGTTGCAAACAGGCAACCCATGGGCCATAATCAGTGCACAAACATGCTTTGTTAATCGTCACCATATGTGCCTAAAAAATTGTATTAGAGAAGAAACAAGACTTGAGGAAAATCATAGTTAAAAATGGCCCCATGGCCTAGTGGTTAAGTTTGGCATGCTCTGCTTCTGCGGCCCAGGTTCAGTTCCTGGGCTTGGACCTACACCACTCGTCGGTGGCCATGCTGTGGCAGCAACCCACATACAAAATAGAGGAAGATTGGCAACAGATGTTAGCTCAGGGCGAATCTTCCTCAGCAAAAAAAAAAAATTGCGGGAAGCAGAGGACCACCAGGAGAGATCCAGAGAAGGGGGCTCCAAGTTCAAGATCGATGGCTGGAAGGAGGTCTCAGGGGCAGTTTTCCAGGAAATGTGGAAATGCTTGCAGAGGATCTAGGCTGACGGCACCCACCTCCCTTCCTCCTGAATAGTGGGCAGTGACAGCAAGCACACAGAGGGACCTGCAGGGCAGTGCCCCAGGGCAGTTAACTCCCATGGAGGACAAAGAGCTCCCACACGCAACAAATCTCAAAAACACAGAACCTCACAGAACAGTCATCTCCTGTCCAAAAGTCAGAAGCAGCATTCCATTGTCATCAAATCAGCAATCAGGCAAATAGGAATTCCCAAACACACATATTACAGACCAGCAAAAGCGAGCAAACAATTAAGGAAAGCCAGCACTATGGAAGAAAGCTCCCTGCGAACTAACAAGTGAGGGAGAAAAGTTAACAAACAGAAGACTAAAAATAATTAATAGCCCTAGAAAGAATATGGAAGATTCTGCACACATTAAGCAATAACCCATTATGGAAAAGAAGCAAATAGAGGTCTTGGAAAATACATATAAGTATAAAATAATTTTTTAAAAAGCTGAGTTGAATAGCAAAATGAATATGGTTGGAAAACATATTAGTCAGCTAAAAGATTAATTTGAGAATTTCTCCCAGAAAACTGCCAAAAGGACAAAGGGAGGTTAAGTGCCATGGAGGATAATCCAAAAGTTCCAGCATCTGCCTGATAATTCCAGAAAGAAAGAAGAAAGTGAGAGAGAGAGGAAATAATCAAAGCAGCAATAAAAGAAAATTTCCCAGTGCTAAAAACACAAGCCTTCTGGGGCCAGCCCCGTGGCCTAGTGGTTAAGTTCAGCACACTCTGCTTCAGCAGCCAGCGTTCAGTTCCCGGGCATGGACCTATACCACTTGTTAGCAGTCATGTTGTGGTGGCAGCCCACATACAAAATAGAGGAAAATTGGCACAGATGTTAGCTCAGGGTGAATCTTCCTCAGCAAAAAAAAAAACAAAAGCACAATCCTTTTATATGCGTCAAAATAGGCTGACTGTGCTATGAAAACAAACCATGCCCAAATCTCAATCGGTTAAAACCACAAAAGTGTGCTTCTGGTTCAAGCTATGTATCTATTGACTATGTGTCCAATACAGGTCGGCAGTGGGCTCTGCTGGTCATAGTCACTCTGAGACTCAGGCTGACAGAGCAGCCACCACTGCAAATGTTGCCCATCACTGTGGCAGAGGGGAAGAGAGCTGAACAGGGTCTCACCTTGTCAATTAAATGGTCTGGCCCAAAGGTGACATGTACTCACAACTCATTGGCCAGAACTAATCACGTGGCCCCACCCAACCACGTGGGAGCCAGGAAGTAAAATCTGATCTATGGCTGGAAAACAGCCAGCCAGAAATATTTGGTGAACAGCACTGATGAGGAATATACCTTTGGATTTCAAAGGTCTCCATAAATGCAATACCATAGATGACTCTCAAAAGCATTATGCTAAGTAAAATTAGTCAGATTTAAAAGGCTATGTATTGGGCCGGCCCCATGGCTTAGCGGTTAAGTGCGTGCACTCCGCTGCTGGCGGCCGGGCCGGGATCCCCGGCGCGCACCAACGCACCGCTTCTCCGGCCATGCTGAGGCCCGTCCCACACACAGCAACTAGAAGGATGTGCAGCTATGACATACAACTATCTACTGGGGCTTTGGGGGAAAAAATAAACAAACAAAAATTAAAAAATAAAAGGCTGTGTATTATTTGATTCCATTTATATCACATTTGGAAAAGGCAAAATCATGGGGATGGAAACCAGATCAGTGTTTGGCAAGAACTGGGGGATAGTGGTCTAACTACAAAGAGAAACAAGGGAACTATCTGGAGGGATTAAAATATTCTCTCTTGATTGTGTTGGTGGTCACATGACTGTGTAAGTTTCTCAAAATTCATAGACATGTACACATAAAAAGGGTGAATTTTACTAAATGTAAATTACACCTCAAAAAATTTTGGAGGATAAAAGGTTAAATGGCTTTTTCATCCATAGGCCACATTTGAAAGAATTACTAGAGGTTGTTCTCCAACAAAATAAAAGTTAAATTCAAGTAAGAGAAAGATGTGGGACACAAGAAACAGTGTAGAGCAAAAAAATAAAAGAAAGTTGAATTTTTAAAATTATAATTTTTAAAGATTTTTATAAAAATAAAATTTAGAGAGGTCGGCCCAGTGGCATAGTGGTTGGGTTCACATGCTCCGCTTCGACTGCCTGGGGTTTGCAGGTTCGGATCCCAGGCACGGACATGTGCACCATGTACCAAGCCATGCTGTGACAGGCGTCCCATATATAGAGGAAGATGAGCACAGACGTTAGCCCAGGGCCACTCTTCCTCAGCAAAAAAA